GAGTTTGCTCACAAAGCACTTTGATTGCTGTTTCCAATAGCCTGAACATGTTCATATAGTGATCTTTAGAATCTACACTTCTTGCTAAGACGTCATCGACACACCCTGTGATTCCTTTTACCCCTTGCATGACAGAATTCAGCCTCTCTTCAAAGACATCTGAACTGACTTTCAAGGCAAATGAGAGTCTGAGCCACGGAGAGTATTTCTCCACGGTGTAGGGAGAATACGAAAAAGACTTATTTACCCACTGTTTTGTTACAAGTGAGCTATCAGAGTCTAACTCCACCATCCAATAGTCCGATTTAGCCTTTGACTACTGTGAAGTACCTCGATCCGTGGAGCTCGGCACTTACATCGTCGTTTGCCTTCGCAGTACTGGTTCCCCTTGATGCTCTTGATGAGGATCTAGACATAGTCGAATTGATCCATCTGGTTTTGCATCTGGCACAATGCTAGTGATTCAATCCGTATGTCCCTCGACTGGCTCAATGATTCCTAAGCTACACCATCTCTCCAACTCGTCTTTGAAAGCCTTTTCTTTCTCCTCTCCACTACTGCCCTGGGGGAGGGGGGAGGGTGTTGCATGGGTTTAACATCCGGCTCCCTGGTAATTTACTGATGCCTTCGAACACAAAGTTCAATTCCGATAATACGTACTCCTTTGTAATAGGTAGGGAGTGTATCTTGCCATTTAAAAGAACAGCGTCATCCTTTATCTCGGATGTAGGCATTTTTACTCCATCCGAACGTTTTGCTGTAGAGAATTTACACTCGTATGAGTTGTGGAGCACTGGTTAGAGCTAAAGGTTTTATCATTGGGAAGGCAATGTACCTCAATTTGTCAATAGTTCCTCTGCCTGGGACAAGATATCCTCAAGTATCTGTCACCTGACATATTTCCATCCAACCATCTGTGGCTGCTTATACTCGTGTGAATAGTAATTGCGCACGCACGAAGATTTACCATTGGTGAGTCATCGTATTGGAAGATGACTCGCGTATCGAAGATTTGAACTGGAGTAGCCGAGAATGCGTCATCTCCAAACAACGATTTGTACATGTACAAAGGCATTACATTACATCCAGTGACTGAGTCGATCTCACATTCAACCTAGTGGATGGGTCTAAGTTCAACCAAAGTGGCTTTACGTGCTTGCTCGAAATATGTGGTGAAACAATAGCGGTAGTGTCGTTCTGGCAGTTCCAGTAGTGTTTGGTAGTACTTGTTCTTGCAAGCAAGAAACTTGTTACAATGCCGGAATGTGGAGTGCACACAAAGAACGTACCGCTAATGAGCTTGTATTGTGCAATATGTTAACGGAGTCGCTAGGAATAATTATCGTGTGGTATTCGTTCACGCAGTTTAAGATTTATTCATTCAGAGTTTAGTGCAGATGGAAGTAAGTATTTTTGTTTAACAAAGTTCGATGAGATATACAAGTGTTTGGCGGAGTAGCATGAGAACACATGGTGTCAGGAGTTAAAAAATCTTGCCTTCCTGTTTTATAGAAACGTTTTTTAGCAACGTGAGAAGGCTGAACGGCGATGGAAGTACCGACAAAGGGACTGGTTCTCCAACGGACTAATGATGGAAAACTACACGAACGTTTCCTAGAGTAGAGGGAAAAGGTATGTGTCCTATGCAAAGGTTTAACGATGACCTTAGTTGATCCAGAATCTATATGCTTGGGTATTTATCAGTGGTCGTGATAAATCAGGGCTTGGTTAAATTTTTCTTGACAAAGCAACATAATGTGAAGTGGGAAAAGTTTTAAGGGAAACTGGAGGAACTTTGCAGACCTAGAGGAAGCAGACTCGTCGCGGCCACTCAGTACGAGGTTTTGACGCAAAGAAACATGGAGTTACTGGAATACATTGAAAAATGTAAAAAATGTAAAAAAGTAAAAAATGTCAAGGAAACGTGTGGATGGCCAGAAGAAGAGAAAAACATGGCGCTCAGAAATGAAATTCTCGTTGGGCTCAAAACTCCGCTGGGGTATCAAAAGGGTTTAGGAGAACACCAGAATATGCTGGCGACAGAGCGGGTCATTGAGATTGCTACGGACATCTTTAACAGTGATTGTCAGAAATCAATTGAGCAAACTCTGAGTACAGTTTCCACAGCAGTCGCGGCCATACAGCAACGATCAAGTGAAGTTCAGAAGCTGCACGCAAACCAACAAGACGACAAGGAAACTGTTAAAGGACAAGACAGAAAAGAAAGATACTTCGAGAAGAAAGGAAGAAAGGAACAGGGAAGAAGTGAGCGACAAAATTGTTTAGTCGCGGAGCTAAACCTGCCCATCCTACACCTGAGTGTCCAGCCAGAGAAGTCGTATGTCAAAAGTGTGGAAAAAAAGGGCACTACCAGAAGTGTTGCAAATCCAAGCACAAACCAACTCATGTTCATTAGCAGCAAATTCTTTGTGTGCATTCTACATCCCGGTGCTGCTTTGCCTTAACTATATCCGCTAGAAACAAGATTGAAACCACCTGTTAAAGATGACGCTGACACACATGTATCATGGACTCATCGTAAGTGCAGATTCAGCAGGTCGAGTCAGCGAAAAGCAAGTGGTGTGAGCGGCCCAGTGCAGAACCCCACGAGACCTCTCGGAAACGGAGTTATTTACCTCTCCCAAGAGTAAAACATCCATCCACTTTGGCTGCTATTGTACTGGCACACTAAAATCAACTCGAGATTTCGTGGTTGTGACGCTACCGACCCCCGAGGCCATTTGTAAGTCGATTTCCCTGCTTTCTCTGTTCTGACTCGTTGAAGGAAAGAAACTTTCGTAGATTTTGTCTTTGAAATGTTGTAGAATTTTAAATCTTCAAAAAGCGTAGAGAGCCTGGTATGGAAAGGTGGCGATGTAAATTTGAAGCACAGCCTTACTCAAAGGTCATTTGAACGAGTGATCATGACCATATTTGGTGCAATGATGGAAAAGTGGATTGAAGGAAGATCCTTAATCACCTCACGCTAGATGATTATAGCAATATATGAATCCTCGACCAATCATGTCTATAATCACCGCAGCAAATACTTAAGCTACATAATGGGTATATTGTTGCTGTTAATTATAGAAACTCATACAAACAAATGCCTCTCAAAATCACGTTATAATGATTCCCAGAATATCAAAAATTTAATTCTCAGAAAAGGTCACTCAATACCATATCCTGACTTCAATCTAAAAATTATTTTTAGTGTATCTAGAAATTTACATCTACTCGGTTTTGGCCCTTTTTTTCCCTAAAATCTACACACCTATATCATTCACCAATAAGTTTAACCTTTTGTGGTCATGTGTGTGTGAGGTCATGGGACATTTTAGTCGATTTATAAACAAAACAGTATACTGATATTACTCTTTTTACTCTGTTGCTGATTTAATGGGAAATTTTTTATACTCAAGAGAATATGTCAAGAGAACATGCCTGTAAATTACTGTACCCTATTTCTCTGAGAAAAAAAATGAATATCTTGGCTTGATATGGTGTAAAATATCCCTTCTAATAGATTTAAGGTTTGTTTCATCAGAATAATTATTATGAACCTTTTTGTTTCTTATTTATCAGAGTGTTACAAAATACTAGTTTTAAATATTAGAATTATGTTTACCACTCAATGTTTTGGGATATTCTGCCATACAATCAATCTGCCATTCTGTCATTCTACAGAATAGGGTCACCTATTTCCCATAAACTGTCTTACAACTGGTCTTTGTTAAGTGATGTTACTCTAAGTTGCCCCTTCTTGACTCAAAGATAAATTATAACCAAGAAAATACATGAAAAACCTTTCTCCTGGTGCAAAAAACTGGATTAAAGTGGCATAATCAACATGGTCATGTGTACATGCAAGTGGGTGACTGTAGAAGTATTTGGAAAATGGGGCTTCATGCTTATAGACACCATTTAGAGACACAATTTTGAGACAGTTTCAATAGCGTATTTCTGGCTCATTTTGATAGCTTATTTCTGGCTCATCAGCTCATTGACTCAACTTTGGTGAATTGGAAAAAAATGGTCATATTTTTGTATCAAAGTAAAGTGGAGAAGATGACAGTAGTTGAATTAAACATGGAAGTGAATTGTAGTGGACACAGAGGTTACCCAAAACTTAAGCTCATCACAAACACAACAGAGGTCCAGAAAAAACAATACTTTTAAAAAGAATGACACAAGCTATGCCTCTCCAAAGAGTTCATGGAAAAAACTAAACCTAAAGTCTTAAAGAATTAGGAGAGAAAAATGTAAGAGGAAA